CGGGGGGCGCCCCGGGTGCCATCATGGAGAGGGTGACAAATGACCAAGGAACAATGACTGCCCTACTAGGGTGGTTCATAAAAAACTTTTTTTTAAAAAAAAGTGCCTGCTCCAAAGGTCTTATCTTAGTACACTAGGGATTATATAGCTATATGTGAAATCCCATGCATATCAGTTAATATCTCGACCCTCCTCCACGAAAATAGCTGTTTACTTGGTTGTTTCCCTATGTCATGAAGGCTGAAATTTCCATTCAGTGGAGCAGGGTCAAGATATTAACTGATATGCAAGAAATTATATAGCTATATACTCCCTAGTTTAGTAAAATAAGACCTTTGGAGCAGGCATTTTTTAAAAAAAGTTTTTTATGACCCGTCCTACTGCCCCACCCTCCGCTTGGCTTCCCGGGTCCTGGAAAGTCGGCCTAGGGGAAGAAAATGAGACGCCGCCGAGTAGACTAGGCCTTGCCTTGCCTTCGCCCCGCCCCTGCACACAGCCGATTGGCCAGCTGGGTTGGGGGCGGGGCGAAGGCAAGGCAAGGCCTAGTCTACTCGGCCTCCTTTTCTTCCCCTAGGCCGACTTTCCGGGCTGCTGAGGAGGCCTGCCAAGGCCGCTGCCTGTCCTGCGCACCCCCCTTCGGGCCCAAACCCCCCTCCAAAAAACCTTTGCTGCCCCCAAAAGTGGAGCGTGTGGGACAATGGCAGCGCTGCCGCCCCGTTTTGCCCGCGTGTGGCGCCGGGAGGAGCAGCTCAGCGCCGCCCTGGGCGCTCGGCAGGCCGGCCTCCCCTTTGCCCCCAACCTCCCCTGCGTGATGCTAGGACCCCCCCCCCCAAAAAAAGCAGTTGTGTAATTAAAAGAAGATGAGAAAAAGCAGCAAAGCTATTCTGTGGCTAATTGACCAATTGTTGTTGTTTAGTCGTTTAGTCGTGTCCGACTCTCCGTGACCCCCTGGACCAGAGCACGCCAGGCACTCCTGTCTTCCACCGCCTCCCGCAGTTTGGTCAAACTCATGCTGGTAACCTCGAAAACACTATCCAACCATCTCGTCCTCTGTCGCCCCCTTCTCCTTGTGCCCTCCATCTTTCCCAGCATCAGGGTCTTCTCCAGGGAGTCTTCTCTTCTCATGAGGTGGCCAAAGTACTGGAGCCTCAGCTTCAGGATCTGTCCTTCCAGTGAGCGCTCAGGGCTGATTTCCTTAAGAATGGATGCGTTTGATCTTCTTGCAGTCCATGGGACTCTCAAGAGTCTTCTCCAGCACCAGGATTCAAAAGCATCAATTCTTCGGCGATCAGCCTTCTTTATGGTCCAGCTCTCATAATTGACCAATTAGGGTCTATTAATGAAGTTCACACTTTTGACAACCAGTCTGATGCTTTTGTAGAAAAATATTCCTAGACACAAGACTTTTATTTTTTATTTTTTAAGCCCTTTCAGTCTCAAGGCTAAGTACAGCAAACTGTACATTCCCACCCCTCTCCCCAAGGCTGGATTTTATTTACTTTTGTGTGCTGGTGTATCTGTGTCTCCCTTGTATCTATTAGGGACTATTCTCTTGCCTTTCCTTTGATATCTATGCTACTGATTACTTCTGCTGTTTTAATTTTAGAGAAAGTGTTTAATTTAAAAAGGATCTAAACTATAGAATAACAGTGGTAACAATACATTGAAGACAAGTAAATCTTTTGGGGAGGGTGGTCCCAGAGCCCTAGTGCCACCACCCCAAAGAGGATCAAATGGGCGGACTTTGGCACTCTTGTCCTCCCCGCCCCCAAGGTCTTTCTCTCTATCTGCGCTGGCTCCCTGCCTGTTACGTTACATGCGGGGAAACCCATGTGGGGTTCCTCTCTGTGTAAAGCCTAAACACAATCCATCCTGTAGATTTAAGTATCTGTCCACAGTCGGCTACTTGTTATCAGAGGCGCAGAATCCATATTCCTTTGTAAGAAAATATGAAATAACGTAAAACCATTTTTGAAGGGGGGGGTTAAAAAATCAACGGGTAGGGGGGTGACAAGAAATTTTCTGCACCAGGTACCACCTGACCTTCCTACGCCTCTGCCTGTGGCCTTCCAAAAAATCCAAAGCTGAAGCAATTCTCCTTAGGAGTAATTTCATGTTGTGACAGACAGTCCCAGAACCAATTAGCTGGCTCAGTGGAAAGCAACACGGCCCCCTCCGTGAATCCATCGGCGGGAGGGTGTTGCATCTCTCAGAGGCCAAGTCCCGAGGTGCCATGTGCTCCCATGGATGTTGTGCCGCATACACTTTCAGAGATCCATGCTCCAACTGGGATGCCTGCTGAGCTACCCTGAAAAGCCTGCTTTTTATCTCCATCTATTGCCAGTTACTAATGGGATCTTGGAGCACATTTCTTTCTTTCTTTCTTTCTTTCTTGCTGTGGACAAGCATCAATCATATTCCCTCATTAAAGGTTTTCTTCAAATTATCATTGAAAGAAGAAGGAGACAGGCAAAAATCCATTAGCCGGGAGAGGCTCCCAGATTTAATTATTCCACTCTCTTGAACATTTTTACAGAAAGGAGAAGGTGAAACTGGGCCATGGAGCCTGACCCTAGGTCCTTTGGGAAAGGGCAAGGTGGGGAGTTGTCATCTTGGAATGAAAATCCACCCCTGGCTACTCATCACGGCTGCAGTTAATCTCAAGATTTTGAATACCAGTAGATGATGAGCAGCCATGAAAGAGAGAAGTTGTTCAGGGTGCAGAACCTCCTTCAGTCCAAGGGCCACATTTCCACATGGGAAAGTTTTCAGGGCCCAGAGGCAAAAGCAGACAGAGCAATGGGTGCAACTCTCACCTTTGCACAGGAGGCTGCATGCCAGCCACACAAAAGCCAGAGGTTCAGAAGAGCATTAAGAGCTCTGCTGGATCAGGCCAATAGCCCATCTACTCCAACCTCCTGTTCTCAAAGTGACTACCCAGATGCCTGTAGGAAACTCGCAAGCGGGATCCCATCCCAGTGTGAGAATACTCCCCCCCCCTCATGGTTTCCAGCAACTGGCATTCAAAAGCAGGGCAGAGAAATAAAAGCATACACACACCACACACAGCCTCTTTAAAATGATGATTTAGGTTAATTTCACACCTGCCAAACAAAGAATGAAATTCTAGCACTCTTTCAAAGAGACTTGGCAGGGGAATGGAAGCATCTTTTGGAGGCAAAGAAAACTTTGGAGAAACAAGAGGTCCGGTTTCAACAGAACACCAGTTTGGGAAGGATGGGGGGTTTGGCTGAGCCATGCAAAGATACAGCATACCTAGCAGACAGAAAATGTTGGCTGTTCCTAAGGGGAAATATTTGTGAGGAAGGGTCAGCCAGGCAGGGCATCAATAAACCAACAGAGACTGTACCCATTAGCACAGTTCCCTTATTCCACCCTCCAGTGCCTGCCTGACACATTCTCTTCTCCTCAGACTATTATGTTCTTTGTGGGAACTGAAAGTCCTGCAGCCTTGGCTGGACAGAGAATTATCGTTCATTTTTATTTTACCTTTTAGGTACACTGAACACAGAAGTGACACCTGTTTTTGCTGAAATGAATACATATAATTCTAGGGAGGGTCTACACTAGCTGGCACTGCTGTAAGTGCCACATAAAACCCTTCTGCACCTGCAAGAAATTGATCTCTGGGTGTGGCAGCACCTACTCTGTGGAACTCCCTGCCCATTGACATCAGGCAAGTGCCTTCACTGTACTTTTTTCAGTGTCTGCTGAAAACATTTCTGATGAGACCAGCCTGAAAGCATGAAGACATGACATTTCTTCTGGTATGGGAAACATCTGTAAAAGGGAGCAGAGACTCCTTGTCTGGGTCATCATCATCTGAGCGTGTTCATTGATCGGCATCTCAGGAGGCTCTCAGCTAGGAGGGCAGGAGCAACCCTGGCCTGAGTTCTTGGACAGCAGCTGACAGCCAGAGTAGACAACACTGGGCTAAATGGTAGGAAAGCCAGACAGTGCCTGGAAGCAGGACAATCACTCCGTTGTATAAAGTGTGGTTTGTATGGTCCCTGCTTCATAGATCCCTGGAATCTCCACAATAGATAAGGCAGGAGGTGATAGGAAAGACCTCTGCCAGAGCCCTGGAAAGGGCACAGCTAGCTGGCCTCATCCACTCTTAGCTTTGCTCCGTGTTTCTGGGCACACGCCCAGGCTTTCCAGGTCCGTCTCCAAGGAGGGTGTTTGTTTGTCCCAGCACTTTCCCCAGAAAAACCCACATTTTACCTCTGAATTGGAGCAACCAGCTATCAGGTTCTGAGAATTGCTGCTTGTTCCAATTCAGTGGCAGAACACAGGTTTTCCAAGGGAAAGCACCAGGACAAAACAAAGCGCTCGGAGCTGGGCCTGGGAAGCCAGCAGATGAGTCCTCAGCAGAGACAAGGATGGTCCAGATCAGGCAGACCAAGGCAGTGGCCGCCAGATGGTGCCAGGCAGCAGCTTGCCCTCACTGGGATCATCTTCTCCCTCTTAAACCAAACCAATAAGAACGCAAGAACATGCAAACAGCCTGCTAGATCAGGCCTAGGACCCATCTAACCCAGCATCCCATTCTCACAGTGGCAGATGTCTGTGGGAAACTGGCAAGCACAAAAGCCCTCTCCCTGCAGTTTCTCGCAACTGGCATTCAAAGGCATCGCTGCAGAGGCAGAGCATGGCCATCCTGGCTAGCAGACATCCATAGCCCTCTCCTCCGTCATGAATTGGTGCAATCCTCTTTAAAGCCATCCAGGTTGGTGGCCATCGCTGCCTCCTGTGGCAGGGAGTTCCATAGTTTAACTGGACTGCATGAAGAAGTCCTTTCTTTTATCTTGCTTCACTTGGGTGGTTTCTATATCACCAAGCATTACATCTCAGTACACAAACCCTTTCTTCTAAAAAGGAATCTGAACTTCCTGAATTCCTTCCACTGGGAATGATGTGAGCACCACCACCAGCCCCAGCACAAATTAGCAGAGCAGAAGGAAGTGTGATCTGCTTACCGAAGGATTTCCTTTCGTGTGAAGAAAGTGCAATCCTGCAAATGAGACAAAAAGAGAAAGGAAACATGGTGTTTTCATTGGGAAGGTGGTAAGAAAAGTATTGATTGATTTGAGAGGGTGGTGGTGATAATTTCATTTATGAATCGCTTCCTGTGTGGCATCCAAAAACAGCTGGCATATAGAAAACATTTAAAACAATGGAATCTGTAAGAACAATTAGAAAACAATTACATATAGAGAAACAACTTAAAACAACAACAGCACAATTATGTTCTGTGTTTAAGAAAATGCTTTATTCTCTTGCTAACTATGCTGTTTTAAATGTGTATTCTACATTTGACCTCCTTTAGTAATGTCTTATTTTGAAAACTTTAAGATAATAAAAAAAGTTTGCTGCATAAAATGTCTTGTTTTGAAATCTTTAAGATAAAAAAGATAAATGAAGCAAGCTTTTTCCAGCTCTGAAGGGCAGGAGTCAAACAAGACAGGAGATTTCGACTAAACATCAGGAAGAACTTTCTGACAGTAATTGCTGTTCAGCAATGGAATGGTCTCCTTCGGGAGGTGGTGGACTCTCCTTCCTTGGAGGTTTTTAAGCAGAGGTTGGGTGGCCATCTGCCAGGGATGCTTTCTGGCTGAGAGGACCCTTGGGGGTCTCTTCAATCTCAATAATTCTATGATTTTACAATATTTTACTTTTTTGTTAATTATGTTGCTTTGAGTTTATATTTCATGTTTGATCTTCTTCTGTAATGTTTAATTCTAAAAATTTGATGTTTTAATGTTGATTGCAAACTACTTTGAGGTATTAATGTTAAAAATATAAAGTGGTATAGAAATAAAATGAATAAGAATAATAAATAATAATTAAACAAAAACAGCAGGGATAAAGCTCTCTATTTAGAAGAAGAACTTATTCAGTAGTTGCCAAAAAGACAACTAAGAACATGAGCAGAGCATCTGCTGGATCTGGCTGTTAGTTTTTGTTTGCCACTGTGCAGTGCTTTGAGTTACAAAACTTTGTTTACATTCCAGAGACATTTCAGGCTGTTGGAAGTCTCACGGGAGATGGGAGACGGATGTGACGTTACTGGTTTCCTGTTCCCTTTTTTTTTTCCAGTTGCTCTCTGCTTTCACAGAGAGAGGATGTGTTTTCTGTCTGCATAGCTAGGAAAATAAAACTCTTTGCAATGTAGCCATAAATCTCATCACTTCCGCATGCTGCTTTGATTCTCTGAGTAATGGGGAATGTGCCTGGAGCCTTATCAAAGGCTCAGGTCGTTAATCACGTCGGAGGCGATTCCGGAGGAGCTCGGCCAATCGCAGGTTCCAACATTTTTGGTTATGGGCCCAGAAGAACGGAATGCAGCTTATCTTCTCTGCATGTCAAGAAGATTGATGAGAGGTATGTGCTCTTGCCCCGGGAAGCCTGCCAGTCCCTTTGAACTTCTAGCCAAAGCACTGACCAATTGTGGCAGAAGCTATGGGGCATGCAAAGGCCTCAAGAAGTGTGCTTTTGGAATGCAGCTGCTTGTAAACAGACAGAGCCTGCTTCAAAAGGTTAATGCCAGAATAATGGAGGCCCTTCAAAATGCGATGGCAATTCCGAAGCTCACAAAGAGGAATTATCAGGACTGGGTGCAGTATGCAGAAGCTCTGCTAAGAAAAGAGGGTCTATTTAATGTGATAACAGATGCCCCGCCCCCCAGCTCCAGTTACCGAAGCATGGGAGGCTAAGAATTCCAAAGCAAGGGGAACTCTGACGCTGATTGTGTCCCCTGAAGAGCTATGTCTTTTGCATGACAAGGCCTCAGCCAGAGAGATGTGGGACAGTCTCCAACAGTCACATTTAAGAACAGAGGCGGGAGCTTCTTTGTACTTTTATGCCAGGTTGCATGATATGGCACTTGTTGATGGAGCAGATGTACGTGCTCGCCTCATGGAAATACAAAATCTCAGGCATGAGTTGCAACAGCGTGGAATCACCTTTCCAGAGGCTGTGTATTCCTTCATGATTCTACATTCTTTGGGTTCAAGCTGGGAAGTGATTGCCAGCCAGCTTGCTGTTTTGCCTACTGCTCAGCTAACGGTAGCGCATATTACTGCTGTGGTGTTGAATGAAGCGGATCAGCATAGTGCTAGCTGTATCATCAAGGGGGAGTCCTCACAGACGTCATCCCAGAATGCAGTGCAACCACTAGATGGTGCCAAAGCTTTGAAGTCAGTGAAATGCTACTCATGTGGACGTCTTGGCCATGTGAAGAGGGAGTACAAACATCCCAAGGCCAAGACAACAGAGCAGTGCAGAGAAAGTTCAACGTGTGGAAAAGGCAAAGGCAAAGGGGCAATGTCCAGGACAACACAACACAAGGCTATGGTCTCATGCTTCACTCCAAAGGTCCAGAAAACGTCTAGATCTTTCTTCATCGTTGACTCGGGAGCGACCCGGCATGTCTGCAAAGACAAACACCTGTTCGTGTCCTTTACTCCGCAGGAAGGTGCGATTCACCAAGCGAATGACCACACTATCTCCAGTCAAGGCTATGGAACGGTTGTTCTTCACAGCTTGGGTGCATCGATACGCAACATTCTTTTTGTTCCGGATGCTGCACACAGAGCTTTCCAATCCTTAACAGTAGGATTGTTGACTTGTCTGCTTAGCAAATTCGTGCTAACTACAATGTCAGGTCTTGAACATCTGGCAATGAAGTTTAGTTTGCCTAGCACACTTCTGTACAGTGTAGTGTCAGAAAATACTTCTTCAGTATCATATACCTGATAACCTGTTGTCATTGGTGTGTCTACAGGGTTAGCATCCATCAGGCTTAGTTTGGTTAACACATCAGCAATTTTCTGTGACTGGTGTACTAAAATATTGTTGTTGTTTAGTCGTTTAGTCGTGTCCGACTCTTCGTGACCCCATGGACCAGAGCACGCCAGGCACTCCTGTCTTCCGCTGCCTCCCGCAGTTTGGTCAGACTCATGTTTGTAGCTTCGAGAACACTGTCTAACCATCTCATCCTCTGTCGTTCCCTTCTTCTTGTGCCCTCAATCTTTCCCAACATCAGGGTCTTTTCCAGGGAGTCTTCTCTTCTCATGAGGTGGCCAAAGTATTGGAGCCTCAGCTTCACGATCTGTCCTTCCAGTGAGCACTCAGGACTGATTTCCTTAAGAACGCTATTTGAAAGGCACTATGCATTACAGACAGAGATTTAACAATCAGAAGTCTGATGGTCTTGAGATATTTGCTGATGCGAGTTTTGGAAGTGACACTACAGACAGGAAAAGCATGTCTGGAGTTTGCTATATGTACAACCAGGGTCTATTTGATTTGGCGTGCAAGAAGCAAACAACAGTAAGCTTAAGTTCTTGTGAAGCTGAACTGAATGCACTGTCTTATTCACTTGTGGATTGTGAATGGTTGTTACAATTGTTCAAAGTCATGAGAATTCCTGTAAAGTGTCCAATCCAGGTTTATCAGGACAACAAAGCAAGTTTGGCTTTGCTGACTTCTGAAGGTTGTAAGCAAAGCACGAAGCACTTGCAATTGAAGCTGCAACATGCTAGAGAATGTGTTCAGAAAGGACTCGTAACGGTGTCCTACATGCCAGGTAATGAAATTCATGCTGATTTATTGTCCAAGGATGTTTCGAAGGATCAACACTGTACCTATGTACAGAAATTGGGTTTGTACTGAGATTGTACTAACACACTGCCCAGTGATGTTCACAGAAAGGGGGAGGATGTTAGTTTCTGTTTGCCACTGTGCAGTGCTTTGAGTCACAAGACATTCCAGAGACATTCCAGGCTGTTGGAAGTCTCACGGGAGACGGGAGATGGACGTGATGTTACTGTTTCCTGTTCCTTTGTTTGTTTCAGTTGCTCTCTGCTTTCACAGAGAGAGGATGTGTTTTCTGTCTGCGTAGTTAGGAAAATAAAACTCTTTGCAATGTAGCCATAAATCTCATCACTTCCACATCCTGCTTTGATTCTCTGCATAATGGAATGTGCCTGGAGCCTTATCAAAGGCTCAGGTCGTTAATCACGTCAGAGGCGATTCCGGAGGAGCTCGGCCGATCGCAGGTTCCGACATTGGCCAGGGGCCCATCCGGTCCTGCATCCTCTTCTCACAGTGGCCAACCAGGTGCCCCCGGGGGAAACCCGCAAGCAGGATGCCAGCCCAAGAGCCCCCTCCTGTCCCGCCAACAGCCTCTTCCGCCATGAAAGCCTCCCATCCTCTTTTAAAGCCATCCAATGCCTCCTGGAGGAGCAAGTGGCATAGTTTGTCTGTGTGTCGGTGGAGAAAGTACTGCACTTTCTCTGTCCTGAATCTTCCAGCGTTCAGCCTCATTGGGTGTCCATGAGTCTGAGTATTATGAGAGACGGAGAAAACCTTTTCTCCACCTACTTTCTCCATTTATATACTTCTATCATGTTGCCTCTTACTTGTCAAAAGAGACGGTGCCTGTCTGAGGGTTTTACCTTTACACCTGGCAAAGTAGCCAAGGAGGGGTGGGGGGTTGCTTGCTTCTTTGCTGCAAACATTTCTCCATCTCTCTTCAGCCTCCCTGGCTGCCAGCACTTCCTGGGCTGAAAAGGCCCCATGGGAGGAGTCTTGAACTGAAGTGCAAGAAGCCAGGAAGGCTGCAATAGTCGGCGCGCCAGTGAGATGCTTTACAGAATGAAAGCAAGAGCAATCACAAATACTGCTTTGAGGGGGTTTTTTCCAATCAAGTTATATATAAATTTTAAGAACTAAATAAAAAAGGTTAAAAAAAACATAATCACCACCCCCAGTCAGCTTAAAAGTTAGGTAAGCAAGACCAAAAAAGAGCCCCTGCACTTCACTCATTAGAGTGAATTATTTTATTTTATTTTATTTTATTTTATTTTATTTATTTTATTTTATTTTATTTTATTGATAGAAGAAAGGTCCACCATCTGAAATCCTGGAGAGCCACTGCTGCCAGTCAGTGTGGTCAGTACTGAGCTCTGTGGTCTGACTCAGTATGAGGCAGGCGCCTGTGTTCCTCTC